AGAGGTACATATTGTACTTTTTACTGTACTACATCTCAGAGGTACATCTTGTACTTTATACTGTACTACATCTCAGAGGTACATCTTGTACTTTATACTGTACTACATCTCAGAGGTACATCTTGTACTTTTGACTGTACTACATCTCAGAGGAACATCTTGTACTTTTGACTGTACTACATCTCAGAGGAACATCTTGTACTTTTGACTGTACTCCATCTCAGAGGAACATATTGTATTGTACTATAACCCTTTTACTCGTACTAGTACTTTCACAGTGTACTGTACTTTCTGTTTCCGTACAGTCTGTTACTCACACTTTCAGTGTGACACATACCACCACTTTTTATTTTTGATTTGTGTGTTTTTATACAACAGAGTCAAGCGTTGCCCTGTATGTCTTGTTGCCACTTCCTGAATTCCTCTGACAATCCAGTTTTACAATTCAGGTATATGACAGTGAAGTATCTGCTAACAGCAATTAGAACACAGATTTATTGCCTGTTTTTATCTTTATGTACTTTTATCAGTGGTCAAAGAAGTATTCAGATGATCATCTACTAAAGTAAAAGTAGGAATACTACAGTGGAGAAATATTGTTCCAAAAGGGAAAGTACTTATTATGCAGTATGCCCCCTTTCAGAATAATACGTATTAATATTATTATTGATGCAGTAATATGTTCATACCTTAATTTGACAGTTTTGACAGGTAGGTTGTGCACTCAGTCTTATCATTATCCATAATAATACATCATACTTTATCTGTTGATTATATTGTTTATCTGAATCTTCAAAGTTACTTAAGGATTGACGGATTGCTTCCGCACGGCTCTCAACATGGCGACGGCTAAAAGCTAAAGGGACTGATCACACCAAGACCTGCGCTAACGGCACGGCCTCTTCAAAAAACACTCGTTGGAAAAAGACACCGGGCAAAACAGAAAAACAACCTCCGGTTCTTTAAAGTGAAGTCAGTGCTTTATGTGTTAAAGCTGCATTCTCTCTAGTGTCCACCAGGGGGCG